TAACACTCTCGCTTCACACGGTGAGGGCCTGGGTTCGATTCCCAGCCAGAGTAGAAACATTGGACGTGTTTCTTTCCACCTGTTGTCTATGTTCCCCATCAGTAAAATGGGTACCTGGGTGTTAGTCGACTGGTGTGGGTCGCATCCTGGGACACTGACCTAAGGAGGCCTGGTCACAGACCGGGCCGCGGGGGCGTTGACCCCCGGAACTCTCTCCAGATAAACACCTTGTCTTTTTTGATCTACCCATGGCTTAAGCTCAGCCACTTCTCTAGATTTTCTGGCGGCTAAGGCCGTGAAAAAAAAGACCTACTTCAGTCTCCTTATAATGAAGAAACAACGAACTCTTGTTTTACCTCTTTATATTCCGTCTGAAGAGGACGGGAAGCGTTGGAGGAATCGCACGCCACTTCGTTTTTTGTTTATCTTCCTAATTCCCTACATACAGCTACATCCTACACTTTCTAGATTTACGCAAGCTACATTGTTAATTTTTCATAATTTTACCTGACTTGCTACATAACTGCGTAAACTTACCTACCTCGTACTACTGCATTGTGTCTTCTTTGTTAGCACTAGCAGCAGCCTGGGATGGACGGGAGTGTTGGTCAGGAAGATGTACATATTAACAGCTTTTTGCGCACTTCGCATTTCTGCAATGGTGTCCCAGATCAACGCAACGTATTGTAACTTCCATTCACAACATTTTCTGTATTTATTATCTCTATTTACCATAGTACTTAGACATTATTGTTTTTTAAGCTATGTTGATAAATTAGCTACATATACACTCATTGGGAATCGTCATTGAGAAACGTTCGCCCAGTGGCTTCACAGTCATAGCAGCAGAACACTTGGTAGGAACAGGAGGGATGGGGTAATCAGGCCCCACCTGAGTCGAATGCTTCAGTCATCAATCTGATAGACGACGCATCACTCAGTTGAGGGACTGATTACCTTTCCACTGTTCTTCAAGTGTTTCCTTCGTAGGAACTGGATGAAGCATGGTGGCGAAATCGTTCTCAATGACATTCTCAGAGTGTATTATTGATCAATTTATCACATGTCGTACTCTAACCATTTCATCTTGCAAATTTAAGCTAAGTACCGAATAGGCTGAGGATCCTGCTTGACGCCTTCATATTCTCGCAGATCCCTGATATTCGTCTTAATTTGTGAAACAAGAGTATGGGGGCAACCCATCCTCACGATAAAATAAATACTCGTGCAGATCTGAATGCTTCCTGGTACTGCTCAGCCATTATATTGGCAGAATTGTCGTAACCATTTTTATTTTAATTTGCATGTCTAGTTAAATATGCATTTGATAGGTTCCTGTAATTCAAGCTATCCAAACCTTAGTTTACCTAACCTAATCCAATATCTAACCTAATGTGTTAACAATCCTATTAAGAATAGGATTGTCTGTAGTAAAAGTTAACTCATTTCGGTGAACAGAAACTAGGTATAATCTAACTACTAAATAAGCGGTGAGTGGAGCTTATGTTCTTGCCTACCTGAAAAGTGCTGGCTTATACACACCAACCATCACTCTCGATTCTCCAATAGTCAGGGTTCACCTGCCAGGCGGGGAGGTACGCTGCTCAGGGTGTCTCCATTAACATAGCCTCATACACACAACTGCATTTCTTAAAATATGCCATTATGGTTTCTGTCTTAGAGTTTAGGCTTGTGCCAACATTTTCCTACGTGGACTTGTGGACTTTGATTCTGACTGTCTTATCCAGTGTTTATCATCTGTCAGCTTTGCCCATTTTGGAATAGCCTCTGGGGAAACTGAGTTGTGCAAATTCTATATCCAATGTGGATATTGTTGTATTTAACTCCAGTGTTGATTTTGCCTCTGGGAGCAAGAGTCGCTACTCTGTTGCTAAGAGTATCCATAGCACACAGGCACACACGCAAACACAGTCTGTAATCTATACACTGCCTTGTTTCTAAGGTTTCTTTTGTGCTGGTTTCCTTCCTGTTAGGTATTCCTTGATCCATATTACAGTGTGATCACTGTTATTCCTGTCTGGTCTCCTTGATATAGTCCCAGTCTCTCGTGCGACAGTTTATCAAACTCCTTCCCACTGTCCAAAAATATGCAGTTCACCCATCTCTTTCTTTTTTGCATCACACCTGTGACTTTGTCATAGCACTTCAGTAGGTTTGTGAGGCAGGATTTACCACCTCTAAATTGGTGCCGTGTTTTCATGGGTATACATGTATATACGGACAATAAGGATTGTTAGAGACCGACACGGACATCACTATACATATCTATTGACAGCCGATAAACGCTTTTGTGTAACGTCAGAGATGACACCAGATATTATGTGCTGATAGCTACATAGAACATCGCCCTCGCGCCCCGGTCACATAATAGACATCCTGAGAAAACCAGGCCAGTCAGGCTATTGGCGCCCACTTCAAGACGTTTTTAAAATTACTGTTGACACAGATGGATCGAATTCAGATCAGCTGCTGCCAAAGTGTGAGCAGTGCTGGTATTGTGGAGAAATCAATTATATAACAGTAACGGGTGTGCATCCACCCACATGTAGCGTGCATTCAGCTTACACTTAAGCTTAAACTAACTTAATTCAGCTTAAACCAACCTAATTCCGCGTACCAGTGCAAGCCAAACATTTATGTAATTGTGAATACCTAACCTGATTTAACTTGACTAAGTTAGTGGAATGATTTAAACTTGTTGACTTAGCTGGCGAGTTAAGACAACGGCCCCAGTGAGGGAGGGGGAGAAGCAAGGTGAGAGGGACAGTGAGGGGGAGCAAGGTGATAGGGACAGTTGAGGGGAAGCAAGGTGAGGAGGACATGAGGGTGAAGCAATGATAGGGACAGTGAGGGGAAAGCTAGGTGATAGGGACAGTGAGGGGAAGCAAGGTGAGAGGGACAGTGAGGGTGAAGCAAGGTGATAGGGACAGTGAGGGGAAGCAAGGTGAGAGGGACAGTGAGGGGAAGCAAGGTGATAGGGACAGTGAGGGGAAGCAAGTGAGAGGACAGTGAGGGGGAGTACAGTATGTTCTGATTAGTTTGGACAGTTATAGATAGTCTAATGTCTGCAGAAAATAGATGTTTTTTCCCTAGTTACCCCAGTTGTTTCCTCTTAGTCACCAAGTTTTTCCTCTCTAGTCATCCCAAGTTTTCTCCTAGATAACTCGACGTTTCTTCCCTCCCTGGTCACCCCCACGTTTCTTCCCTCCTAGTCACCCCAACGTTTCTTCCTACCTAATCACCCCGACGTTTCTTCCCTCCCTGGTCACTCCGACGTTTCTTCCTCCTGTCACCCGACGTTTCTTCCCTCCCTAGTCACCCCGACGTTTCTTCCCTCCCTAGTCACTCCGACGTTTCTTCCCTCCCTAGTCATCCCGGCATTTCTTCCCTCCCTAGTCACCCCAAGTTTTTTCCCTCCTAGTCACCCCAGACGTTTCTTCCCTCCCTAGTCACTCCGACGTTTCTTCCCTCCCTAGTCACCCCGACGTTTCTTCCCTCCCTAGTCACCCCGACGTTTCTTCCCTCCCTAATCACTCCGACGTTTCTTCCCTCCCTAGTCACTCCGACGTTTCTTCCCTCCCTAGTCACCCCGACGTTTCTTCCCTCCCTAGTCACCCCCAAAGATTCTTTCCTTCCTAGTCACCCCAGACGTTTCTTCCCTCCCTAGTCACTCCGACGTTTCTTCCTTCCCTAGTCATCCCGGCATTTCTTCCCTCTCTAGTCATCCCGGCATTTTTTTCCCTCTCTAATCATCCCCAACGTTTCTTCCCTCCCTAGTCACCCCAACGTTTCTTCCCTCCCTAGTAACCCCGACGTTTCTTCCCTTCACAGTTACCCCAGACGTTTCTTCCAGACACACAAATGAGCCTCAGACATGGTCTGCAGATGCTTCTTTCTTCTCCTGTACGTTTTGGCCTCACATTCCAAGTCGAACCGAAACGTTGTCACAAGTTCGTTCTACGTGCTGGTTATTTATATATTATTTTTGGTTGTGTATAAAAAAATCTCATTTTCTCCTAAAAGCTAAAAAAAATATTTTATGAAGATCTGTTATAGTTTTTAGTTTGAAAATTTAGAGCCTAAAATTAAGCCTTGCTCACCAGTGTTCAAAATTTGAAGCCAATACGAACAGTCATTCTTGAGTTATAGCATCGACATCAACTTCACAAGTTGTTTAATAATCAAATTAGAACCTACGTAGTCCAAATCCAATCCGAATCTCCATATAAATAAGACACACCAGCGTTTAAAGTTTGAAGTCAGTCTGAACATACATTCTCTTGTTATCGCCTGGAATCTTCCTTTAAATAAAATACACCAGAGATACAAGTTTGAAACCGATCACATGAAGCATACACCAGCTATCACACAGAAAACAAATAATCTCCTTCCACAAGTCTGTGAGACTTGTCGAAGGACAAGTTTGTGGGAGGATATGTACCTATTTCCACAAGTCTGTGGGAGGTTACGCATCTACTTTTACATGTCTGTGGGAGGTTATGCACCTACTTCCACATGTCTGTGGGAGGTTATATACCTACTTCCACAAGTCTGTGGGAGGTTATGCACCCACTTCCTGGCCGAGTTCAAAGACCGAGTGAGTGAGTGCGGCGAACATGTGGCAGCAGCGCAACACTGACGTAATGTCTCCCCTTACTTTGGGCTCCCCTCGACCAACCTGGCTGACGTACGATATCTGCTATTTTTAGTTTTTACGGCCCTAACAGGTTTTTTCCCACACACGTAAATAGAAATATTAAACTCTGAATAACGCGGTGGAAATAGTTCTCCGAAAGGTTCATTAGAGAATGTGGAGGAGGATTTATTAGCGAGAGGGAGCATTGTGGGCAGGATAGAGGGAAGGAAAAATAAGACAGTATGTTGGGACAGGAGTGAAGGGGCAACGACCCTGCCACCCCACCAACGGTGCAATCCCTCCCACCCCAACCACTCCTCCCCACCCAAGCACCCCGTGTTACAGGAATCGGGACAACGCTGGACTCCACGCATCCCTGGAGCTGCCGGAAGGAAGTGACAGGAAATGACCAGGTATGGAAGCAGCGGGAGATGAACCACCAACACCTGGCCAAATGGCTGAATGTTAGGTAAATGAACATATATGCATCTAATGTATTATCCTACGTAATTTACACATATGTTACTATATATCTCAACTGTATTTATGTAGACCTGTACCTTAATTAACTTACTATTGTGACATTGATTGCATCTGTGTCCTTTTACCTGCATTTTCTCTTTAATTTTACTACCATTACCAAATGATTGAAACACATTACACGCATACCTGATTTTGATATCATTTCTGTGTGATAGAGCGAGAAGTAGGGTCAGTTTCCAAACACCTGGTCCCTGTTCACCTCGCAGCAAATATGCGCTCAGAGTTTCGAGTGAATTGGGTCATATCATCTGCAAGATGATCTAAGAGCTTCTATACAAATATGTTACTTTGTTTTTTTTTTTTTGGGTTATTGTGGGTTAACTTTCTCAGCTTAATAATACGAAAAAAGATATATTTTTTAATCTTACTGTGTAACTGTCGTGTATAATGGGATAACTGCCCACTGAAGATGGTCTTAGCATGTAACTCATATAGGTTAGGTTAACTGCACACTGGTGTTCTCACTGTGTAACTTGCTTCTTGTTCTCATTATGCCACAAAAGAATTCCTTGGGAAGCGAAATCTTACAATGAAGATGGAAACCAGCATAGCTTCTTGAAGCGTTCATTTATTCATTAGTTTCGGAGTTGACTTACTCCATCATGAGGCATCTTTCGAAAGGAGAGAAATTTATACATAAATGGAACTTATGACGACGTTTGGGTCCGACCTAGATCATTAACTAGTCACACATACACGCGAAGGGAATCGCCCAAGTCTAACTGGAAAGTCGTTATCAGTTTCATTGTCCAATGTGCGGATCATTTGTACATTGTTCCAGTCACGGTATTGTACCTTTTTATTCTCTGAGAGAAAAATCAGTTATAAAAGCATAGGGTAAACATCAAATTAACACAAATAAAAGGAAAGAGGAAAGGTAAACAATAAAAACGAGAAATAAAGCTAATTCAGCTGACCATTATTGTACAGATAAGCTTTTGTCTTTAATGCTGTACACAGGCTCCGCTGTAACCAGTTCAGTGGTACTGGATCAATTGGTCAGCACAGTGAATGATTTCATATTTATAGTGTGGAAGTAATTGGAAGTTCAGTTAATGGTCTATTTCTCCTAATAGATCTGTCTAAATATAGATTTATGTTGGATGACAAGTGTTGTCGATAAGTATGATAGAAACACTATCGAGGTTAGGTAAGGTTTGTCAGGAAACAGGACAAGTGTTTCTTGACCCGGGTCTTAGTCATATGATGACCCGAAACTGGAGCTTTTGGTCATTTGACCGAGGCCTTCCGCTGGCTTACTATCCACCTCTTTAAAAATTAAGGTTATAATTATAACCATTTATAATTTCCTTGTGAGAAACTATTTGCAAAGCGAACTTTATTTATACATATCTCTCTCTAAGTAGAGCTTTTTCAAATCATTATATAAAAAAAAAGCTCTAATGAGAGCGAAACATCTGTAAATAAAGAATCTACTGGACACATATTGTCTTGACACTAACAGAATTGTGGAAAAATGTTAAATATTAAAAAATATTTAAAACTAACGGAAATAATGCTTAAAATTATTGGTCACTCTCGTTAACTTGCGTATTGGCAGTACAATGGAACCTATACCGGACCTCGAACAAACAGGAGTCCGAACAATTTTGTTCAGAAATGATTGACCCAGTCTTTGAACGTTTTTCTAGAGTCCGAACACGCTGAATTGTTTAAAATTCAGCAGTAAAAGAAAACTTTATACTAAAATCCTGTTTTAAAAGTTCTTGGAAGTGACCTCTGACACTGACCTACCTCTCAGAGACTTTTGGAGGAGTCAGTTCAGAATCCTCTCGTGTGTGAGGCTGATAACTAAAACCTGCGAAATACTGTTTCGGACATCGAAATTTTCGCAGTTCGAACATCACCTAGGAACAAATTAAGTTCAAATACCTGGGTTCCACTGTAGTAGAAACTAGTGCTAAACAAGGGAATGGACCACGCCTAAATAATGTCTTTATTTCTACAAGTACGTGTACAAGGTATACAGGCCTAGCTGACATCAATGATATACTACTGTATAGAAAGCCACTTGTTATGCTGAGCATTTCGGGTAAATTAGGTCAGTTTTGTTCCATGATGCGACCCACACCATTCGACTACTACCCAGGTACCTATTTTATTGATGAATGAGCACTGGACAGCAGATATCATAAGGAAACACGTCCCAATGTTTTCCAGGTGTACCGGGGATCGACCCCCGGACCACAGTGTGTGTGAGCTGATTGCGTTAACGATCGAGCTACCGGATACCTAACTGATAAATAAGTTTAAATCAGGCATATCATATATCACTAACTTGCTGCATTTTGTAAAAGTCACAGTAATAATACATGAAAGAAAAGAATAGGTTGACTGTTTCCTATATGTTTAAAAATATTTATAAAAACTCCTCATGAAAGATTAATTTGGAAGTGAAAAGAAAATGGGATTTTTTTAATCAATGCAGAAGCTAAGAACAGAAGAGTGATGAGAGGCAAGAGAGGTGGCGTCACCAGTAAGTTGTGCCGGGAATCAGACCTTGTTGCTCCGATACTACTTCTGGTAAGTCATACTGACCAGTTAAAGACACGTGAAAAAGCGGACATATTTATTAAAAAAAAAACGTTTTGGTCCTGGAACCTTGGTCACTTCCTAACTTAGAAGTGATCAAGGTCCCAGGATCGAAATGTTTTTTTTATATGTCCTAGTGTTTGCTCACGTGTCTTTTTAAACTAGATTGCTTTTAGCTTTTATGTATATTATTTACTGGAGAGAGAAAAAAATAACCACATAATATGGTGGATGACGATTTAAAAAGAATCTAGGTCAAATAAAAACTCGATTTTTTTGTACAGTCGAGGAAGACTAAAAACTGAAATGAGGTGGAAAAAAATGGATAATGATGCGTTTTATTGTGTAAATGTTATGTGAAGCATAAACATTAAGTTACTGTGATTTTTATAACATAATAGATAAAAAAAAGATTTTGAGAATGATAAAAATATTGTCTTCAGGAAAGGTCGTAAATGTAACTGTAAATTTTAGTACATTAGACCCAAGCTGGAGCATGTTAGACCAAGGTGGGTAAAAATGTCTAATCCAAAATGGAGGATACTAGATCCACGCTGGTGTGTTAACTTCAAGATAGACTATGTTATATCCAAGCTGGAGGTAAAAAAGTTATTGAAGCAAGCCGGAATAAACGTATAGACCAGCTTAGAAGGTTCAGAGGTATGCAGCTAGGCGGATTCCAAAATTAAAAAAATGAGCTACGAAAACAGACTTAGATACTCTGACGAAAATCCAGTATTTTTTGTTCGCGTTGTACGGTGAGAACAGGTTTAGCTCTCTAATGAATAGCTGTATAACCCTTGTGGTTTAGCGCTTCTTTTTTATTATAATAATATCTAATGAATAAAAGACTAGAAATTAGAATCAAGCAGGTACTCATACTCATTTACAGGCAAACTTCCTTAATGAATACACATCTAAATGTGGCATAGTTTATATCACATCGGATACATAACATCCACACCAGGATCTGGATCCCAACAACCACGGCTTGGCAAGAACACATACACAGGAGCTTATCTTGCTTGCCAATAACCCAAGTTTGGTGAGTCGAGACGTATGGGTTAGTGCATCTGCCACCTCTTTTCACCTTACAGAAAATAGGTACCAAGGTAAAAAAAAAAAAGGCAACTATTGTGGATCGCAGACTAGGGAAGAAGACCGATGTACCCCAGTGGAAAGAATCCCACTGTTTGGCTTCCTTGGGCTATCGTGGCTAATTAACACTCAGGAGTTGCTAATCCGAATAAAACCGTCATTATATTCGTCTTCTTTAATTCCTCCTCTTCCTCAAGCATACATATACTGTAGCTTAGAGTTACAGCTTTCATCTCTTGAAAGAAAACGAAATGCGGCCTCTCCGTTTTCTAGATGTAAAACTTTCTTTATATTGTCACAGTCATACAGTGGCATATTACAAACCATTCTGGAAAAATACCCAGACTTTGCTCAGCGTGCATAAAGAATTACCACTTCTTTTTTTTAGCGTTTGTGTGACCTGATTCATGTTTGCATTAATAACACATTACGATTGTGACCAGATATAAATAATGTAAATAGTTCATTACCAGTGCAACTTGTTCAGCTATCAAAACTTTCCTCCTCAGTCCCTGGATCACACTATGTACCTCTGTGGTCTTCCGACTGTCGCCCACAGCATGGCTACGGGGTGAATAATGAAGATATTTTAAACTGTCTCGTCAACAGTTCCTGAGCATTTTCTCGACTGTGTGGTTACCTGGAGAGTGTTTCTGGGGTCAACGCCCCCGCGGCCCGGTCCGTGACTAGGCCTCAAGACTACCTTAACAATGGGATTTATTTGTCTGGTATAATTACACCTGGCAGATCAAGGCGGAGGTCAACACAGGTTGGTTCCTTGTGACGAACTACACTCAGGCTCAAGAGTATCGTTAATTAAGCTGCCGAAAAGGGAAGGATTTTTTTTGTAATATTCACATAATTATATAATAACAGGAGTCATTAATGTAGCAATGATGTGACTAATATATATATACACACACACAGTATCGATCAGTGAAGAGGCGGGGCCAGGAGCTATGAATCTACCCCTGCAACCACAAATACGTGAGTACACACACACACACACACACACACGACACTTTCCACATAGTACTATCATTATCAAGATTTTCAAGTTTCCTGACTTATGCCCCGAGAGGCGAGTTTATTGTGCAGTGCCACTCATGGGTGTCAGAGATGGCCTAAAGTGCTAACAAATGCAACATATTCCAAAACTGGGCATGTGTCTTATTTAACAGTGCCACTTATCATGTGTCTGAACATAACGCAATCATCATACAATATTATAGCCCTTAAATAGCTGACACGCCACTGGCGATGCCAACTCCGTCCTTGGTTGTTGCAACAAAGAAAAACAAAAAACTGCCAACGCTGCGCAGCTTTAGCTTGACTCTTATAAAAATCTAAAAAAAAAAAAAAAAACATGAAACAGTCAGTGACTCATTAATTCATAAAGCGAAGCTACTCAGACCTGTTTCACGCTACTTCTCGTGTGTTGTGAGTCACTTATGTGTTGTGAGTCATGACTCGTGTTTGTGTCACTTATGTGTTGTGAGTCATGACTCGTGTGTTGTGAGTCACTTATGTGTTGTGAGTCATGACTCGTGTGTTGTGAGTCACTTATGTGTTTTGAGTCATGGCTCGTGTGAATCACGTGTTCTGAGTCATGACTTGTGTGTGTGAGTCACTGATGTGTTGTGAGCCGCAGGATAAGTGGCACTGCTCAGTAACGTACATATGGAAGTATTTCACTCACATTATGAATGGATATTCGCCAGTAACCACACACTTACCACTTTGGCACTTGCACTTCGGCACTTCCTCTCTGGCACTTTCAGAATGGGGGTATAACTTAAAGGTAGCTAATCATATAACCTAAAATGAATGGTTGTAACTATGACCATAATTTTTAAAGGGGTGGACCGGTAAGCCAGCGGAAGGCCTCGGTCAGATGACCAAAAGCTCCAAAGGCGGGTCATCATCTGACTATGACCCGCGTCAGGAAACATTTGTCCTGTTTCCTGACGAACCTAACCTAACCTAACCTAACCTAACCTAACCTAACCTAACCTAACCTAACCTAACCTAACCTAACCTAACCAGAAGCTCCATCAGCGGGTCATCAACTGACTAAGACCCGCGTCAGGAAACTCTTTGTCCTGTTTCCTGACGAACCTTACCTAACCTAACCTGCACACAGAATGAGTTGCAGTGGTCAGTGACAGCCTTAAAGAAGTATATTGTGGCGATATGTTCACTCACAGCACAAATAACATTAGACAATACTGTCCCTGTATATTTCATAACGTTCACTAAGAGGTTCAGTATGTTCATTGTTCAATCATAGGATAAGTGGTATTGCTCATTGCTATTCCTGTATATAGCATTACGTTCACCCAGGACAAGTAACATTCCCCAATTCTTTTTTCTACAGGGGTATATTCAATCACTGGATTTATGGTACTGAAAAATATATTCGTCTCTCGAGACAAATCCTTAAACTGAGACAGAGAGAGAGAGAGAGAGAGAGAGAGAGAGAGAGAGAGAGAGAAAGAGGGATAGAGATCTGAGATCATGTATTTCTAGGATGACTCGTGTTTGAACTTGTTCATACAGCATAACGACATCAACGAAATAAAGTTGGTCGACCACAGATAGCTCCAACTTCATCCTGTTCCTTATCTGTATATCTCTCAACAGTAAAAAGGCTTTCAAATGAGCTAAAACTAACCTAGTACAACCCTATGTAAAAGAAAGAGAGAGAGAGAGAGAGCATGGGAAAAGATGGGAGAAAAGTGACCTGAAAAGTAGGCTACCCTTTTTAAATATTACTTTCTATAGCAAGCAAACGCTGATTATTTGATCCGACTGCTTTTGCCAGTTTCAGTGAGGTGGTCGGGAGACAATTCCTACGACTTTCGTCCCTCCGCACACTGCTGCTTCCATCGCTGAGAGATATTTCACTGGTGAAACAACTGGCATGTCGCGCTTTTCGGTATGACGATGTCAGTCATCATAGTCGTGAATGTATTCTTTCCTTGGGGTTTTGTAGAGGATCTTTGTTTTGTTTCATACCATTGGAATGCAAAGCGCGTTTTGTTATTGTTTTTTGACAATTCGTTGTTGATGTGGAGTGTGTTATCTTTGTCTCATCTCGCCAGCTTCTCTTATTACCCTTCCTGCTCTTGCTTTCACTCTTGCCGTCACGTCTTCATTTTTTTCATCTTCTGTTTAGCGTTAAAGGAGCTCACCAGCACATCTCAAAGAGGTGAAGCCACGACTAGAGCCTCTGGGAGTCACTTAGGCCTACTCCATAGGCTGCATCAAGTCGAATGCGCTTCATAACAATGGGTTTTTTGCATGCACACTTAAATATCACCTATCTCTGTACAAACACTGTATCATGCTAAAATAAAAATTTTATTATTAGGTTAAGAAACTCGTCAACTCAAAGTACTTCTTCACTTCTACTGCTGAGCAGGCAAAGCCTTTAGTCAGTAAAGATACCAAAGAGATGCAGGTGTGTGCATTTATCTAGTCACAGAATCTAAAATCGCTCGACTAGAAGCCTCTAAACCATTTCCGCCTCCATGAGGATCCTGCTTGAGGTTTCCCAAGCCATTTACACCGCCTTCACAGGGAGGAATCTGACAAATCACTGCAAACCATTTCTTATCCTCAAACAGCTTGATTATCCATTCCCTCAACCATGAGACCTGATCTGAGACCTGGTTGTAGGGATGATGATCCTAAAACCGTGAACAGGTAGATGGATAAATCTCAATGTATCACCGGTGTATACATACAAGTATGTATGCATATACCTGGAGTTTACCTGGAGAGGGTTTCGGGGGTCAATGCCCCCGCGGCTCGGTCTGAGACCAGGCCTCATGGCATAAGGCATAACCTCTTCCAGCAGGACTGGAGTTTCTTGCATGCAAGACTGGAACGTTTTTTTTTTTATATGGGATAAGACTTTCTGGTAGGACTGGAGTTTCTAACACATTCTTTCCTTTAATGCAATTAAAAACATATAACTAACACACAAGTACTGTAGCTATTTTTAATGCTAGGTGGGCAGGGAAAACAAAGATGTAGGGGAAAAGTGCTCATATGTTCTCCCAGACAGGTAATCGAACCCTGGACCTTGCGATTGTGAGTTGGATGGGAGGAAGCGAGGACAGAAAGGAGAGGCGAGGGGACGTAAAAGAACAAAGGAAGGAATGATGAGAGGCCAGATAGCATTTTTTTATTTTTTTACCTACTACTACTACAAGTTATATGGTAGGATCAAGAGCCAGGTAGCCAAGAGGTGAAAATGAAGGGCAGAGTTGATGCGTCTGTCACCCCCATGTAACCTTGACGGGAGTAGATGCGTGTCTCTCAGCCCCGTGTGACCTTGACCAGACCTTGAACACCAGCCTTGCTGGCGAGCACTGCTGCCTGTGGGATGGGGGTGGAGAAGAGGCCGGGAGGATGGTGTAAAGTATGGATGAGGAAAGGGGAGAAGAGAGAATGGGGGAAGGCAGGTATGAGGGTCTGACGGAGGTAGGTGAGATGAAAATGGATGTTTTGGGGATGAGGGGAAGTGAGTGGAAATGGAAGATAGGGGGAGGGAGGCATGAAGGAAGGTGGGGGAGGAAGGAAGGTAGAGAAGGGGAGAAGGAAAGAAGTTGAAGATAGATGAAAGAAGTTAGAGAAAGAAATATAGAAGCTGAGACTTGAAAACATGTTATACAATAGCTTAAAATAGAAGGATGAGAGAGCGAAAGGAAAATGTTAAGAAGAGAAGGAGAGGAGAGGAGAGAGAGAGAGAGAGAGAGAGAGAGAGAGAGAGAGAGAAGAGAGAGAGAGAAAGAGGAAGACGTTATGAGGGAGGAACAAGTTACAAGAATGAGAGGAAGACATCACAAGGATGAGAGAAAAAAGTCGCAAGAGAGAAAGAGACACACGAGTGAGAGAAAAAGGTACAAGAGTGAGAGAGACACAGAAGTGAAACGAAGATTAAAGAGCGATAAAGAGAGAGAGAAGGAAAGAGAGAGAGGAGGGAATCATATTTAAACATGTGGAGTGAGGCACAGAGGGAAGACGCCCGACAAAGAGGGAAAAGACTGATGTCAGGATGAAGGGCGGAGAGGGAAGAATGCAAGGAGGAAGGTGAGGAAGGAT